GGCTGATAATTCACCTTATAACTCATTCCTTTGGTCGAGCGTTCTTCGTATGTCAATCAATCTATCATAGGCCGCTCTGTCATTCGAAGACCCCATATCAATTGGAGAGGGGAACAAATGCCAGAAAGGACGTTGGACCCCAAAGGGGGGTGGATAGTGAGATCCCACATCGGTTGGAGAGGAGAGCGAAACATTTTTTATAAGGGTGTGGAAATCTCTCCCTAGCATACGCATTTTAAAATCTTGAGGGGAAGTGTAGAAGGAAAAGTTCAAAGAAGACAATTACAGCTAGCGATAGGCTTGGGTTGTTGCAGCCATGGTCGGGTTCCAAACCTTTTGTTTTGTTTGGTCATTAATGTTCTTCTTGTTCTGTTATTTAGTGTTTTATTCATCTTATAACATCGTCTGTATATACTTACTTGTTAGGCATTTATTTGAATCCAACAGTCTTTTATGAGTTTGTAGACCATGCAAATCATAGGCAATCAAACAATTTCTTTCCTCAACAGGAATTCCTTCTCAGAGCCACCTCAAAAGGTTTCTCCACGAGTTGCTCGGAAACTTCGTCCCGCTTCTCTGGAATGTGATTCTGCTTCCTCAACCCGAACAAATAATCGAATCATTAAAGAACGAAGCCCGAAAGTCGTCGATCGAAAGTCGCCTAGAAGCCCTGCAAGTGAGGTAATATTACTTGTACCTCTTGGTTCTTGTTCAAAGTTGAGCTTCATGCACCTCCATTAATCTTGATAGAAGTTGGATTCTTAAAAGAAATCATAATCGCTCCCACGTTAGTTGGAGAGGGAAACGAAACATTATTTATAAGGGTGTAGACACCTCTTCTAGCTAACGTGCTTTATAAACCTTGAGGGGAGGAAGCTCGAAAGAGGACAACATCTGCTAGTGGTGGGCTTGGACTGTTACAAATGGTAACAGAGCCAAACATCAGGTGGTGTACAAATGAGGACACTGAGCTTCGAAGGGACGGTGTGCCAGTAAAGACACTGGGCTCCAAAGAGGGGTGGATTGTGAGATCCCACATCGGTTAGAGAGGGGAACGAAACATTTTTTGAACTTTATTTCTCGTTGCTACTTCAGAAAAAACGTCCAAGCAAGATTTCCGAGTTGGAATCTCAGGTTTGTCAGCTGCAAGAGAATCTAACCAAAGTGAAGGATCAGTTATGTTTATCTGAATCATGCAAGAAGGAAGTCAAGCAAGAGGCCGAGGAGGCCAAGACTCAACTAGAAGCCATGGCCTTAAAGCTTCAAGAGTCGCAAGAACAAGTACTTGAGCTATCTACTTCCAAGGAAGCTCATGTCATAGAACTACAAGAGATATCACTCGAACGAGATCGTGCTTGGCAAGCCGAGCTTGAGACGATTCAAGAACAGCACAAACTCGACTACGCTGCGTTGGCTTCTGCAGTGAATGAGATTCATCAGCTGAAGATCCACCTTGAGATGGTAGCTCAATCCGAAACAAAAAAGATCAACCTTACGGACTCCGAAAATAACGAACTTGATAGCTTGAGAACTCACCTTGCAGAAGCTCTTTGTGTTGTGGAAAGAATGAAAAACGAGCTCGAAAGTTGTCGAGAATCCGAAGCTCAAGCTCGGTTACTTGCTAATGAAACTCTAGCACAACTAGAAGACGCCAAAAAACGAGTCGAGGAGCTTAGATACGACGGTATGGAAGCAATGAAGGGGTACCATTCCATTGCTTCAGAGCTGGATGAATCAAAGGCACGGATTAGCGTGTTAGAAGAACTCGTTAGTAAACTGAAAACCGACGTTGCGAATCCAGCAGTCGAAAACGAGAAACAGGGAGATCATATTGATGAACATTGTTGTCTCAAATCAGAGATAGAACAGCTGAAATCTGCCTTGGAAATGGCTGAGACAAAATACCATGAAGAACAAATTCAGAATGCAGTCAAGGTAAGAACAGCTTATGAACAAGTTGAGCAGATTAAGACCAACATGAATTCTAGGGAGTCTAATCTAGAGCAGGAGCTGAAAAAATCGAAGGTCGATATCGACGAGTTAAAGGCCGACTTGATGGATAAGGAGACCGAATTGCAGGCTATCTCGGAGGAGAACGAGCAGCTCCACGCGAAAATTCAAAAGAATCTATCGAGCCAGAGAGAATATGAACTCGAAAGAGAGATTAAGGAATTGAAGGATCATCTTGCAGTGATGAAGTCCAATCTCATTGACAAGGATAGACAATTCCGTAGCGTTTTGGACGAGAACGATACGCTAAAACTCGATATAAACAAAAGGATAATGATTCGAGCGAAAGCAAGCGATGGGACTACAGAAGTTGAGGACACAACGACTGTCGAACAAGAGGCTCTCACAAGACTTGGCGTTACGATGGAGGAGACAGAAAAAAGTAACAAGAGGGCGGCTCGAGTGTCCGAACAGTTGGAGGCTGCACAGGCTGCAAATGTCGAAATAGAAACGGAGTTGAGACGGTTGAGGGTGCAGTCAGACCAATGGAGGAAGGCTGCAGAGGCTGCAGCCGCAATGCTCTCTGCTGGAAACAATGGCAAGTTCATGGACCGATCGGCGTCGTTGGACAGCAGCTACGACTCGGATTCTGCAGGAAAAGTGAACAGGAGTTGTGCTGAAATAGATGATGATTTGCTGAAAAAGAAACATGGGAATGTGCTAAAAAAGATAGGGGTGCTGTGGAAGAAACAACACAAATGAAAGGGTCAGGGCCAGGGCTTGGCATGTCTAACTCTGCTTGTGGGGCAGTTTATTTTGTTTTGTTACTCATGTACTGTTGATCTTGATATCATATGAAGCTCAAGAACAGATCTTGATATCATATGAAGCTCAAGAACACTACCCTATTCAAATTTCGGCAACAAGGTAAAGTGACTCAAGGTAAAGTGACTGACTGTCAATTTAGCTCGAGCTTAGTTTAACACAATCTTTGAACCGATCTAGCCTATTTTAGTTTTCGATTAGCTTTAGCTCTACTCGAACCAAACAATACAATTTAAGGTTGGTTTGATAGAAGTTTTTGAGTTAACGACCCATGTCTAGGATTCGGCACCTGTGTGTCCCAACATTCTACTGTTTCACTTGTAACATGATCAAGTTAGTTACTCTTTTTTTTTAATCGTAATATTCATTATTAATTATTATATAATGTTTTAATTACTTAAAAAATTATATATTGATTTTTGTCCTCTGACAAATTCTCCCTCCCGAATCCTACGTTGGATTTTGTCTGTTGAGAGAGACACCAAAACAAAATCCATCCCGAAGTTGCTGCTCATGCTTGTCTCTAAATCCCAATATATATATATATATAATTTAAAAAAATCCAATGCCTTTCGGTTCCGCTTCAAAACGAGTCGAAGCTACAAAGTCAACCTAAAATCGGTCCGAGCTCATTGACCAAACCCCATTGTACCAAAGACGTAATCTATGGCTAATAACGTCTACTTTGGTCAGCCAGGTTAGATTGACTAACCTGGTCTCAACTCAATGTAACATCAATACATTCGTTAGAAACTCCAAGATTCGAAGGTGTGTCTACGAGGTATGCTCACACAAAACCCAGCTGCTCGTTACATTAAAAAAAGAATCGAGATGTGTGTGGTACGACACTTTTGCAAAGCTCGTTTTTATAAATAGATTCATTCCTTTCATAATTGAGATCGTGCGAATCTAGCTCAAGTAGATTCATGTATTAGCAGTTTCGAAACTATTATGTTAATAATGTACAGAGACGTGGATGCATGTATTAAAAAAAAAGTGTCAATTCTTCTTATTACTCTCACCTATTGATGGTCATGTCAAAGAGTAAAGTAGATGCTTAGAATATGACAAAACATCAATTCTTTTATGTAATAATACTAATTAAGACCAAAAATGATGCATTTTGAGGAACTAAAATGCAATTTTTGTTCTTTTTCTTTTAACCTAAAATAATAATTTAATTCTTTTTTATTTTAACCCAAAGAAAAATGACAGTAGAATTTGTTTTACGTTGGTTAAATTTACGAGTTTTTGCACAGTTCAACAAGCCTAAAATTTCTATAAGAAAAACTTGATATTATTAAAATGAATAAGTTTATGAAAATTACATCAAGAATTGGATGATGGGTTGAATTCGCAACGTTGATCTAAGACTTCTGAAGTCGAATCCAATCGAAATGAAAGTATAGGTGAAAATTGAAAAACGTTGAAGTAAAAACTCATTTTCACTTTTGATTTTTTATCATTATCTTTTTATTGTTCACATATATTGAAACTTTAAATTTTAACGCTAAACATGCACTGAATTCCGATCTCATTTTCCATGAAAATCAGGACGTAATTCTCTTTATTAACTTTAAGTTAATCCAAGTCATCACCTTCCATAAACGTTTTTCAAAACTTCAATTCCAAATATTAAAAAAACAAAATTAAACAACAGACTGTCAAAAAATAATAATAATAATAAATAAAAAAACTCACATTTAAAACCTTTTTTTTCTTTGTTCTGATTTGCATGGAGAAATCAAACACCAACCACCAGACATTTCTGCAACAAAACAGAGATTTGATACTCCAAACCGACACCTCTGACTCAACAAACAAAACACATGAAATTTCAGTTTCGAATTGACGACTAGTTGCATAACAAATCATGAAGAACTTCGATACAAAACTTAATTAATTCTAAAATCCCGCTTTTTTTTTTTTTTTTTTTTTTTTTTTTTTTTTTTTTTTTTTTTTTTTT